TTTAAATTTATAACGCAGTGTGCGGGGAAAAAGACTCGGCAAAAATGTTCATTCAGCAAATTATTTTTACAATATCTATATAGGATTTGTTGTTAACAGATATTTCGTGAAACATCCGAAACAAATTCAAGTATACCTCGTACTACGTCAACATATGTCGATACGACGAAAAAAATAAAAAAAAATGTAATTACACGGCCATTTGTAATTAAGCGCATTTCCTCGTCCAAACTTCTTGCTGCGCCATCGCGTCAATTGCTCACGGCTTTTGACCGGCCTGTCCATTGATTCGCGATCGGCACGGTGAAGTCGTCAAGCAGCGCCGACCGTTCATCACACACAATTCGCGCGAGTCACGTTACTCGTTCTCGTTCTCGTTTACTCGCGCACCGCTAATCTGGATCTCCCATCTGCGAGCTCCCTTAGCGGCACGCTCTGCGGTCTGCGAATCCCTTCGTTTTATTGAGTCATATTCCCTTTCGTACGCGATACTCGTAAATCGGACATTCCTTCGTATCGCGCCGTCGAATCGACACGGCACGATTAACGACGATATTAAGACGTTGCACGCCGCAATACGTTTACTTCGACGACAAGGAGATTTGAAAAAAAAAAAAAAAAATTGATTAATTCATGTTACACCGATGATGGCGCAAAACGTTAATGATAATCTTTAAATAAATCGAGTCTTAAATAAATGTTCGGTATTAAGTTTTGGTTATTTAAAAAAAAAAAAAATGGCACAATACTTAAAACGTCTAGATTCAATTGTCTCTTATTATATTTCATAATATTTATTCGTATTCTTTGAGATCTGTCAAAGATTATTTTCTTAATTCGTAAAGGACAAATATTTATAAAAATTGAGAAACCGAGAAGTCATTAACATTTTGCGCCAAGTTGGGCAACTGGGCCGAGTAAATGTGTATTTTAAAAAATTTTTTAAAAAAGCAGAATACAATACGATAAAATGCAGGCTGTGTATTCGCGTCTGCGATCATAATCGTAAACGTTTCGTAGCGCGCGCATAGTCGGTAAAGTACGCCGACAGACACGCTAATTTACTTAAAAGAGATTAGAAGAAGGAGAGATACGACACGGGGGAGATATGCAAATCCATGAGGAAGAGTTGCCCGTGGCAGGCTAAGGCGTAGCCGAAACGACCTGTTGCACCTCATGCGGAGGGTGAGGGGCAAAGGGGTGTAAATTTGCACCACGTCCGACGATGTCGATAAGATCGCCGATAGTTAACTTATCGTCGGATTTGCGCGCCTAATACAAGAATTCCATGGAAAACGCAACGGCGAAAGCATACGTGGTATATCCTATATGCTAATAAATATCATACAAAACTAATAATAATAATAATAATATTGTACCCCTTTTCGTTTCGATCGTGGGATACTTATTTCGTAAAAAATCTTTCTTTCTAGCTTCATTCTTTTTTTTCGATCAATCAAGATCAGAGAGAGCGAGCGAGCGAGAGAGAGAGAGAGAGAGAGAGAGAGAGAGAGAGAGAA